TACCCTGTATTTGTCGCGGTCCACACTGGAAAGCGCGTACGGCTCACCTTTCTGCCCCTTGGGTCCTTGGGGCCCCTATGGTAGACAGGACGTGGAAGACAGAGAAAACACAGAAAGGCCCGTGAACACTCAGTGCAGTGCTAGCCATGTGGGTGATTAGACATTGTCTGTTATGGGCAATGTCAGTGGTCCTTATGGCTTATTTGGGTTATTCTGAACACCAGTCCTACATTCAGCCACAAAGATGAGACTTTCGTATTTACCCAATAGTATCTTCCTTCAAAGTTAAAATGGAAACATTTTAAAGGACTTAGGTTATTTACAAAAACCCAAAAGGATGCTCAGTAAACGAATCCTTCAGGATGCCAACATGTTGTTTCTCTTCGTAATAATACACTTTGTCTTTTCTTGGGCATTAGGGTGCTAAAGATATTAACACATATGTTCTGAAGCACCATTTTTGGGAAAGATGCTGGGTCATTCTGTAAAAGTGGAATTGTGACAAATACACTCAGTACGTGTGCACATTGTACGTGGATGAATGTCTTTCAATGCCTGTGTATAAAATCAGTATTAAAAAAATTTTCTTTTTGAAACTTTGTCTTAAGACACATGGAGAGACAGAGTGTGAGAGGGGGAGGGGCAGAGGGAGACACACACACACACACACACACACACACACACAGAATCCCAAGCAGGATCCAGGCTCTGAGCCGTCAGCACAGAGCCGGACATGGGGCTCGAACTCCCGAACTGTGAGATCAGGACCTGAGCCGAAGTCTGATGCTTAACCGACTGAGCCACCCAGGCGCCCGTATAAAATCAGTATTTTAAAGGGATGGTTATATTTATTGATAATGATAGTTTCATGACATTACAGCAGACTGGAAAGTGATGGTCCTCGTTGACAAGGTGACCCACACATAAAAGACAACCCAGGGAGAGGACTGGGGAGGAGAAGTGAGAATAAGAGAAATCCACGAACTTCAGGGGGAAACACACGGGGAGGAACGTGTGAATATTCTTCCCCAGTCTTAGAAATGTTTTCTTAAATAAAGAGTTTTACCAAATAAGATGTTGGCAAAACCCTGACTTTGCAATATTTTGATGGCAAGAAGGCAGCCATACAGAAATGGAAAACACTTCAAGATTCTTTGCAAAGACCTGAAAACTGAGTCTACAAAACAGATGAATACATGGAAGTTTTCCATTAAAAAGAAAAAAAAAGCACACTTCTACCTGCAGGGGCTGTTTCCGTGTCACAGAGGAGTTTAGAATCTAACAAGACGGGGGCTAACGGCATCCTGTCAAGCTCTAATTAAGCCTTTTGATTTTGTTTTTGCTCTTGCCCAATTCTTCTCTGTTACTTGAATTGTAGCATGGGGGGAAATGCAAGGACACAGGTAAAACTGCACGATACGAACCACACGGATTATTTTCTATCTTGTTTACAGAATAAATTTGGAAAATGAAGTTCTCTGGACGCAGGAAAATCATGCCGAGATGTCTGCAGGAACGTGTGCATCCTGACCGCTGCCTAGGGACAGGGGAGCACCTGCCTGGGGGTGAAGGAGCCGGGCTGAGCACACCCGCCCCGGCCGAGGGGTCCACAGGAGCCAACCCGCCCTCCTTGGAAAGTCTGTCTGACACAATTTCTAAAAGGGCCTTCTGGATGGGCCCGTGAAAGGCACACCACACATCCTCCACCCGTCTGCGGACAAGGGCCGGCCCCCCCCAGCTCCTGGAGTTCACCACCCCAGCCGCACCCGCTGCCCTGATACTCACAGGAGGGCCAGCGAACCCCCCGGGGCCGACGGGTCCCTGGCGGCCCACGTCTCCTCTCGTCCCGTTGCAGCCATCGTGACCAGGTGGTCCTCTGGGCCCACCTTGCCCCGGGTGTCCCTGGGAGAGAAGAGTAGGTGAGCCTTCTAGCACACGGTCTGGCGTTCTCATGAGAGCGTGATAAAACACTTCTAAATCTTCCCACCCTGCATGAACCCAAGGGCAAAGAGAACTCAAAACCAGCAGGTAGGTGAATGAAAGATTAAGTAAATGGAGGCACACAGGTTCGGTTCTGAGCAGGAGAAAGGCCGTCAGGACGAAGTTCTGTTTGCCATGGGCTGGGTAAAGAAGTCCATTACCGCCGGTCTATCGGGAGGTCTGTGTCAGCAGGGACGGGTCACGGTAGATTTAAAACTTCTAGAAGGCACTCTGGAAGCGGCTAGGTCTTTCAAGGACAACAAGGGGCCCCATCTTTTGTGCCCAACTGAACTGTAGAGGGTGAGGTGACAGACTCACATCCTACACAGGAAAGAGATTCACACTCCCCCTGCCCCCCGATGGGATTTCATCCATGACTTCGCCGTATGTAGAAGAACTGATTTCCTCTTATTTGCTTTCGAATAAAGCCAATAAAAGCAACATCTGATGTTCAGAGATGTCGGGGTGGGGGAGGGGAGGGAAGGCAGCATGACCAAATGTCTTTTGAATAGCTAGGGAGTCAGGCTGAGTTAATGACCTGCCTGCCACTTACGTACTACGAGACCACGGCCTATTTTGCTGTTTCCTCCCACGGCACGTGTTTAGATATATGCCATCTTCTTAATCTCTCTAAAATTTTGCTTTTGCTGACAATGGACCAAGCATACATTCCAGAGTGGATTTTTTGAGGCCCCATTAGGATGCCTTTTACACTTACTTTGAGAAATTTGGGACATTTCAAGAGAAATGAACGAATCCTACATAGAGTGCCTGGACCCTGAACGATATTAAGAAACACAACGAGAAGAGTTGCATTTTAATTTCGTTGTCTACCTCTCATCGCTCTCCTTTAGACACTCAAAGCCGCTGCTTTAACTGGGACCCTCAGACAAGCACAGATCCAACAGCCAATCCCCTGGTAGACGAGAGAAATCCCCGCTGCCCTGGAAATCACGGGGTACCATCCATCTCTTCAGCTGAGAGTGCAGCCAGCTGCCTTGGTAGTGGCCAACTACAGGCCTTTTTTTAGGGGTCTCTGAAAGCTGATCCTTCAAATTCAGCCTGAGAAAACAAGCCCGGTGGGTGCTCTGCTCACGATCTGTGCGGTCTTCCGTGATGCTTTTCGTAACTCGAGTTCTTCACTCCTCTCCGGAGTGATCTGTCTCCTGTGGGCCTTTCTTGCTCCCTTGGAACTGATCTAAGTCATGTGACATGGCGTGTCAGTCAGACGTTAGTTGGAGACTGTTCTTCAAAGAAAAAGTGCAATTACCTTGAACCGACCGCCCGTCTCATGTTCAACATCTAACTGGACATGGCTCTTAAGATCTGACTGCACATCACATTTTATATATGGCTCCTAAGTGGCTAAAATTAGCCCGGGGGCAGATGGCACATGGGTCCACGTATGTGCAGTTCCAGAGTCCTGTGGTCAGCGGGCGAGGCCATTGTCAGCAGCACGGAGTTTCTGCGGAAACCGCTCGGTTACCTGCTTACTGTGACCACTCTCTCATGTGAAGATACTGCCTCTCCAACTTGTGAACTATTTCCTCCTCAGAGTAAATGGGCATACAGTGGAAAAACCAAATATGACTCAGAGCAGCTATACTGTTTTTCCACATCCCTCCTTTTAAACTCAGATTTCGACTTCCAGAAGACAAAACCGACAAGGCGGCCCAAAGAGCTCAAGAAAGCGGTTTAAGAATAGGTGGTTTCGTTGCAGGCGGTTGGTAGGAAAATGCTATCGTTATTTGTTTACCCCTGAAAATCTACGGATTCTTTGACTCTGACTAATGGGGAAGTGACTACCTTACTTGTTCACACAGCTGTGTGTCCTAACTGGTGCGTGTGAGCCCCCATCCAGGGGACGCTCCGGGTCAGGTCACCGTCACGCGGGCCTCAGGTCTGCGTGTGGCCTGTCTGTAGCCCTGACCGCCTTCCTGTACCGCTGCACAGCCTCCTGGGTGTGCAGCCGGCATTCTGAAGAACCTCCTCTCTGTGATGCACAGCCTCTCTGTGATGGCTCTTCTGTGTTCCCTCCTACAAGGCGGCTGTCCTGCTTCCACAGCCCCGGGAATGCATCTGTTACGTGTGCACACGCGTGTAGATGTGCGTGCTAACACAGGGGCAGGGGGTGTGGGCATGTGGGGTAAGGGCTCGGATGTGTGCACACGAGGGAGGTTCCTGAAGCAGATGTCCTCAAACCTCAGCAGCAGGCGAAAGCATGTGCCATAAACACATCTGTCCCCGCGGCTGGGATCCGTAGGAGGCAGACCCTGGGAATCTGCTCACGGATCCTTGTGAAAGAGGTTGAGAGACAGGCCGCTGTGTTTATTTATTTATTTTTTTATGCCACAAGAAGTAAAGTAAACTAGGTTAGAAAAACACATTTTATTGCATTTTGAGATTTTCTCATGGACAAACCCTGTCTTTTCTTCTCACTTACGCATGGTTCACTAGAGAACTGGGGAAACGTCACCAACGTCCAGCAGAGGGCGTCCTCCCACCCACCATCTCGGCCGTGCCCCTTTATGTTCAGGTCGCTTTACGGTTCCAACAAAATGTCAAGCCGCATTCTGATTGAGCATATCTAACGTGCTAGCCTTCCATTACAAAACCAGGTCCGGTTTTCGCCGAAAACCGGCTTCGATTCCGAAGCCAAGTGCAGAAGAACATTTACAAAGGAACCAATCTGTGCCATATTTGAGAGGACTCCAGGGGAAAAAGGATGCACTGGGAGCCCTACTTCATTGTGTAAACCAAACAGGAGGCCTAGGTAGAAAGGCTTCTGTAAGTCAGGAGCTTGCTTAGCACGTGTTCGGTGTTTTAAAATCCTACAAAATCTTACAAAACACTTACGGGAATTCCGTCGGCACCAGGGAATCCGGAAACGCCTCTTGCTCCCTGTAAGGAAGGCAGACAAGCTCACTGTGGGCCGGGACACCCACTGCCCGTCGCAAAAGTGGAGGGAACATGAGAAGTCATCATACCACATCTCCTTTCGGTCCTGTGATCCCCGGTGACCCCCTCTCGCCCTTGTCACCTTTGCGGCCCTGCAGTCCTGGGAATCCCTGCAGGCCTGGGGGCCCGGTGTACCCCTGGGGGCCCACTGGCCCTGGCTGGCCCTGCAGAAACAACAGAGTTTAATCACGGTTAATAACAACAGACGAGCATTTTCCAGCGTGCTGCTTTTGAAACGACGCTTTTCATTCTCAAAGAGCTATGATGTCCAGGGAACGTCACATGTAGACAGTTCTATCTCCTGCCACAATTGCCACAGAGTGACTTCTGGCTAAGAAGGAAGGCCTAGAGTGTTAAAAGAAAAGAACCATGTTAAATGTGAGAAAAACATATCATCCTAGATCACTAATGTCGCGTTACCGTGAAATGCTGGCATTAGGTTGGGATGAAAGAATCAGCTTAGTTGGCTTTTTAAAAAAGATTTTAATGTTTATTTATTTATTTTTGAGAGAGAGAGAGTGAGAGAGCGTGAGCAGGGGAAGGGCAGAGAGAGAGGGAGACACAGAATCTGAAGCGGGCTCCCGGCTCCCAGCTGTCTGCACAGAGCCCGACGCGGGGATCGAACCCACAGACCGTGAGATCATGACCTGAGCCAAAGTCGGACTCTTAACTGACTGAGCCACGCAGGCACCCCTTACCTGGCTTTTTTTTTTTTTAAATAAAAAATGTGTTCTCAGTTAACAAGAAAATTCCAAACAAATTTCCAATATTTTATCTCTACTCAGTATAATGCCTGTAACAGGATGGAAATGTATATGGCACTCAGGTATCAAAATGATCCCCAGATGTTTAAGTGATCAGATAATCTTCCGTCTACAGACATACCACACACACACACACACAGAGAAACATTAAAGGTGTCTGAAGCCTGTAACAATCCACGCCCGTGGCCGTCGGACATGAGTGGCCATTATTTAAAAAAAAGACAAAATGATGTGCCGGTGAGCACATGGAGAAATCAGAGCCCTCGGCACCGCGCGTGGGGACGTAAAACGGCACGGCCGACGTGGAACAGGATGGTGGGTCCTCAAAAATTAAATAGAGAATTGCCATTCCATCCATCAACCCACTTCGGAGAGAATCCTCAAAATCGCTGGGAGTGGAGACCGAACAGGTGCTTGGACGACTGTGTTCGCTGTAGCACCTTCCCCAGCAGCCAAAGGGCAGGTGCACGGCGCTCCCTGGGAGACGGTGAGTATACAAAATGGGGTCCATCCACGCCACGGGCGATTATTCACCTGGCCGGGGGGTGTGGGGGCCTCACCTCCCAACACTGCCGATGCCTGTGGACGTGGGGCCCAGGTGCGGGGGAAGCGGTCAGAATTTCCCTGAGGCGGAAGATACGGATGGAGGTTAAGATCGAGTCGATGGATGAGACCTGCCCCGAAGCTCGGGACCCCTGCCTCCTCCAACAAAGGGTGTTTTGGGATGCCCCCTTAGGGCTCCCTCTGGGCCAGGTCAGTTCTGGAGATGATGGGTTTTCTTGCTCTACCCTCCTCGTGTTCCGGAGGGTCCGGTCAAGGCGGAACTCACCAGATACTCCGTCTGAGTGCAAGCATCGCAGGCAGTGGTGAAGCCAGGGTATTCCGTGTCTTTGAACAACGCGGTAAAAGGGGGCTATCGCCGCTTTCTTGTCTCCCCCTCGTTGAGGAGGGTTGTGTTGGAAGGTGGGTAGCCCTGACCATGAACACACGAACCCCAGGCTCACTGTAGGCTAGCGCTCAGGGCCTTCCACATGCTACATTTGCTGGAAGTGTGGGGACAAAACGTGCTTTGATTCTGATTTTTACGGATCTTCTCCAGTCGTAATCATTTTTGTTTTGTTGGCACTGTTAGAATACCACCTTCTTGTGATTATGCGGTGTGCCCCAAGCCCCCGAACGCCCCCAGTCATGGTAAGGCTCGCACAGCGAGCGTCCTTTTGGGCGTAAAATGTTCTTCAGTAACACTGTCACTTTTACCATCTACAAAGTTCATCCCCATCTGGGGGGCTCACTGCACGCCTCCAACTAGGAGCGGCACCTACTGTTAACCACAGCAGAACATGTGTGTCTTCGTCATGAAAAACCACATTCTTGTCGTGCCTTCAGTAACCTCTCCTTGGTTCCCTTTGATGGGAAAAGTGATAGCGACATCATGTACTCACTTTCCTGCCATTGTCAGTAAACTTCTTTTCAGCCTTTGTTTCTTGGATGGGAAGTCTGGCTTTTGGAATGAGCCTTTCCTCTTCTGAGGCGTGCGATCACTGTGAAATTCCCGTAACATAACACAGACCCTTTAAAGGGGCTTCTAGCACATTCACAGTGTTCTCTACCCACCAGTTCTATCTAGGTCTAGAACATTCCCATCACTCCAAACGGAAACCCCGTACCCACTGAGCAGACACTCCTCACTGCCCCTACATTTGCCGTTTGCTCTCTGTGTCTATGGGATCTATCCATTCTGGGTATTTCACATATATGGAGTCATAAGTATGATACATGACCTTTTGTGCCTGGCTTCTTCCATTTACCATAGAATTTCTGAGGTTCTCCCATGGGGTAGCACCTGCAGTACCCCATTCACTTCCACGGCTGAATCATATTCATTGTACGGAGAGACCACAATTTGTCCATTTCATCCATTCATGGGCATTTACGGGGTTCCCACCTTAGGGCCACTGTGGCTCGTGCTACTTGGACGTGTACGTACAGTTACCTGTGTGAGTGCCTGTTTTCGATTCTTCTGGGTACAGACTTCGGAACGGAATGGCTGTGCCTTCTGGCAATTGTCTAACTTTTTCAGGAACTGCCAGACTGCTTCCCACAGTGGCTGCATCACGTCCATTCCCAGCAGCAGTCTGTGAGGGTTCCAGATTTCTCCATACCCTTGCTAGCACTCGCTCTTTTCCCTTTCTTAGAAGTTCTAGCCATCGTGGTGGGTGTGAGGATGGTGACATTCTGAGGAGTTTATCTTGAGCTTCTGACAGATGGGACATTTCACAAATTCCATCCAGCTTCCGCCCTGGGGAAGGGCCAGGAAGAGTCTGGAGAAAATCTGAATCAGACCTTCGTCCCCACGGACTGGACCCTCGCTCTTGCCCACAGTGCAAACGCTGTGCTGCTGAGGCGAAGTGGACATTGACGTCAAGGTCAAGGACCTTGCTCTGAATGTTTTAGTCATCAGGCCTGAGATCTCCCCGAGGATATCCTGCCGGCCAGGGCATCCAGTGTGTCTGTCAAGAGCAGTTGGAATGATCAGCTAATGAAAAGGAGCTTCCTCTGTGCTAATTATCACCAACTTCCACCCTTAGTGGGAAAGTCACGGTCGGAAAACCTATTTCCATCTCTTCCCTTCCTTTTGTTCTAAGTGACGTTAAAAATAAAAATTACCCCAGAAGGAGACGTCTAGTTTGAATGTCTCTGCATAAACCTCAAGGGCTCCTGAGAGTCTTGCGGCGCACTTGACAAAAGCATTCCTGAGAAACATTTCTTAAAAGCCAGCAGACGCTGTGAAAGGAGTGGAGGGACCATGTGCTGTGACCCCCGTCCCGCCAGGCGATCTGATTCAGATCTACGTGTTACTCGCTGGGAGACAGGACAAAGGAAAAAGCATCATTAAATCGCGTATCTTCTGGGATGAAGTGCCTGTTATAGGTTTTATTTTTAAAACTCTTTAAAAACGTTTCTATTTTTGAGAGAGTGCAAGATGGGGTGGGACAGAGAGAGGGGGACAGAGGATCTGAAGCGGGCTCTGCACCAACAGCCATGAGCCCGACATGGGCTCGAACTCACGAAGCAGGAGATCATGAGCTGAGCTGAAGTCTGACGCTCAACTGACTGAGCCGCCCAGGCGCCCCCGTCTTGGTTTGAAAAAACGGTTTATCTTATTTTACCCCCATGCCAAACACGTGACAACTGTCACCCCCACTTGAGAGGAGACAGCGGGGGCTCTGGAAGGAGCCCAGTATCGTGAAGTCGGGTTGGGGAGTGGGCCGGTTCTGAAGCTTCCGTGTTCCATTACATCATTGCTGCTCCGAGTGAGGTCCTCGACATGAACCAGCTCCACCTGGGAGCTTGAGAGAAATGCGGAGTCCCAGGCTTGGCCCGGACCCTCCTGGAGCTTCAGTGACCACCCTCCCCGGGGGGTTTCTTTGTACAGTAGCCCGGGAGGCTTACTGCTCAACACCCCTCCCCCTGCGACGTTCTTACAGAAGCAGGTATCTTTTAATAAAAATCTCATTTAATAAAAAATGAAGTCGGGTCTTAGAAGAACAGTTGAGTGTTTACTACATCAGGCAGAAGAAGATCTAATATTTACGTTTGTTAAGTACTATTTCTAATGAACTTTTCTGGGTCTTAGGCTTCAGTGGGATCTGCAACAGGCCAGAACCAACTTTGCTCCCTTTGAGGACGGAAGGTTGCTCATCATGTCTCCTTCTTGAAATCACTCCTGGAGCCCGTGTGGGATCCAGGGTCGGTGGTGGAAGCTGAAGTCTGAAAAGGTGGATAGAATGTGTCCAGACTTGAATACACATTGCTCAAATACCGCGGCTGCGGCCAGAATGCACTTCAAGGCCTGAGACTCTTACTAAGCTTTCCTGAACTTGGAATTTTCACTTCTGAGAAAAGGGCAGAATATAACCAGCTACGTGCATGCGGGGGTGACTCCGGGCCTGCGGACGCGGACGCGAAGGTGGGGCGCTGATCACGAAGTGGGGCCCGAGAAGCATGGCCTCACACGCGGCCCCAAGGGGGTGCCTGTTTCCATCCGCAGCTTGTTAACCTTACAGCTCTCTGTGGGGAGGAAGGAAAAAAAAATTGCTTCCTTTATCAGAGAAGGATAAAGAGAAATGTTTCCAAGGATAAAACCCTGCTTCACTGCACATCAGGATTTTTAATTTACAGTACAGTATTTTCCTGCTCGAATAAGAATAAGCTTTTCACTTACCGGCCAACATGTGAATAGTAGGAAATCCCTTCTCTTTCTGAAGTTGACTCTTCCTGTCTTGCCTTTTATGGGCAGCGGGCCCCAGCAGACGCCCCATATCCTCTCCCGTCCCCTGGGGGGCCCCTCCCTTCCTCGGCTGCTGGCGGTGCGTTCCAGGCCTTCCCGGCCCGTCCGATGCTGCCCTTCTCGGTGACCCTCTGGGGATTCCAGCCCAGGTCCCAGCTCGTTAGAAAATACGTCAAATGGCCTAGAAGCTGGGCAGGGCTACCTTTTAGGATCCGAGAAAACAATTCCTTCAGCTACAACTCAGACTTCGCCGCCATTCTTAGGGTGAGCGAGTTTTCTGACGGCCCTGGCCGGGTGAGTCTGTACCATTTTCTGAGCTCGTGATAACGTGGAGGCATCGGAACAGGGCAGAACCTGTACGATAACAATCAGCAGGTCACGAGCAGCCGCCCGATCCATGCGAGACAGAGCCCGTGGTCGGTCCGCCACCCTTTGTCTATGGCTTCTTTGGTGTAACAGAACAACAGCCCTGCCCCGGCTACCATTCCAAATCACGGATTCCACCTATATGAGGTAGAACTATACTGGCCTTGGAAGCCCTGCTCTGCAAAATTATTTGGCCCTGACCACAGCACCAGCATCTATGCAGAGCAAATACATCCACACGTAAGGAAACAAACCGTGACCCTCGTCTGTCTCCACGTACACATGTGTGGCCAAAAAGGGTCACAGACCCGAGTGTAGGAGCTAAAACTCTAACTTTCTGAAGGAAAGCACACAGGGAAGAGTCTTAGCGACTTTGCATTAGGCAACCGTTTCTTAGACGCGCCCCAGAGATCATGAACCATAAAAGAAAAATGTTGAAAACACCAGAAGGCTTGATCTTAAAGGTACCATCAAGAAATAAAGAGCAGCTACAGATGGGGGGGCATATTTCCAGAACACATATGTCTGATACGTGACTTTTGTCCAGAGTACAGACAGAACACCCAGAAATCGAGGACAGAGACACTCGATATGAGATCTGAACCCACTCTTCCTCAGAGAAGACGACCAGAGGGAAGCCAGTCCACACTGCTGCCACCAGGGAGGGCTACGGTCAGGACGGCCCCCCAGGGGTGGGTCGCCCGGCAGGATGGCGTGCCAGGACCATGCCGGGGAGGCTGCCGGTGTGATGCGGAATGGGCAGCCTCTCTGGGAAAGTGTGGCAGTTTCTTATAAAGTTAAACATCCACTTACCGTAAGACCTGTAGGTAAACGCTCATAGCGGTTTGGTTTATTTCAGCTGAAACCCTGGATGTCCAGCGGCTGATGAGTGTAGGAACTGGTACGTTCGTAAAATGGAATACCACTTAGCAACACGAAGGGGGAAATGACCTGATGTGTGCAACATGGAGGACGGATCTCGGGGCGTAATGGTGAGGGAAGCTCATCCCACCCATCCCGCTGGTAGGATGCCATGCTGATATCTGACTTACGACATTCAGAGAAAGCCAAACTAGGCAGAGGAAACAGAGCAGTGGTGGCCGGGGGTGGAGGCAGAGGGAGGGAAGAGACTGAGACTTTTGGGGGTCATGGACCTGTCTTCCTTCACAATTACATGTACCTGTACACGACTGTCAGTATCCACTAAATTGCATGCAAAACATTACCTCGACAAAATTAACCTAAATACAAATGAAGAGAAGAGTCTGGTGAAGACACACATTAAGAAGACAAGTCTGGGGGCGCCTGGGTGGCTCAGTCAGTTGAGCGTCCGACTTCAGCCCAGCTCATGATCTCAGGGTTCATGAGTTTGAGCCCCACATCAGGCTCTGTGTGGACGGCTCGGAGCCTGGAGCCTGCTTCAGATTCTGTGTCTCCTCTCCCTCTCCCCCTCCCTTGCTCACGCTCTGTCTCTCTCTCTTAAAAATAATAAACATGAAAAAGTTAAGGGGCGTCTGGGTGGCTCAGTCAGTCAAGTGTCCGACTTTGGCTCAGGTCATGATCTCATGGTCTGTGGGTTTGAGCCCTGCATTGGGCTCTGTGCTGGGAGCCTGGAGCTTGCTTTGAATTCTGTGTCTCCCTCTCTCTCTGCCCCTCCCCCATTCATGCTCTGTCTCTTTCAAAAATAAATAAATGTTAAAAAAAAAAAGAAAAAGAAAAAAAAAGAAGAGAAGCCTGAAGCTCATGGGCTTGTTGGATACGACTAAGTCCTTGTGGAACATTCTTACGAATGAATTTATAAGGTCACTAATATTTCGGAAAGGAAGAGGGAAGAGGGGACACTTTTAAAACGCCTTATTAAAAAAACACTTAGCCAAATATTTTTTTAAAAATGTCTGCCAGGGAGATGAAAAAAAAAAAAAAAAAAAAAAAAACCCCGAACTGCAGAAACTAAGGGCTGGTCTGGAGTCCAGTCCGGAATCTGGTCTGTGGCGCGTGATGTGGACAGAAAGGAGGGCCGTCCGCACTCAGCCCGCCGAGCGGCTGGACTGGAAGTGGGTCAGGACCAAAGAGAAGGCCAGGCGGTCCTGGCCTCCACGATGCACGGTCTTCAGAAAGAACACACCAGAGGCATCACCTCTACTCGTAAGATGCTGCTGTACAGTTTTACCTGAAATGAGTCACATTTTACAGCAGAGGAGAAATGGGTCATCTCCCTGTCCCCACCCACAGGAGCAGGACGTCTGCAAACTCTGCTCCTTCTTCTAAAAATAGGCAGCACATGGGCCGTCCCACTCGATGGCTTTTACCCCAATGTGAGGCCACGCTTTTTACAGTCTGGATGTGACGCTGCCTGGCATATGTCAGAAAAGCCGAACTTCTGGGAAAGCCTTCCCCTGCTTGCGGCAATAAACACATTTCGTTTGCCCGAACGCGACTGCTTGCCTAACACACCGACTTGGTTTCTCAAGCCTCCTGGCCCCCAAGAAGACACGGAGTTGGATGTGGATGAACTGAGGGCCTCGGGGAGCCCAGACGGCAGCCAAGAATGGGCTGGAAGAGCAGATTCTGGGACCACCGGTGTCTCGTAGGCAGGAAATGCTCTAACTGAGCTCTGACTACACGGAAAACAGTATTAGTGCCCAGAGTAACCGCAGCAAATGGCCTTCGTGTCCTTATGAGTGATACAAGGGCTGCTGGCTATACTTAGGTATCAGAAAGTGACAACCAGAATACGAGGCGATTTTGGAGTTACCAAATCAGGCAACCGCAGGTAACTAAAACAGCCGTCTACGTGTACGGCCTCAGTGGAGACCATTCATTTCCACGTGCCAAGGCTCCGCCGGTCTCCTTAGATCATACTCCTAGGCCACGCTCGAGTGTGACGTGACTCATGGCAGACCCTGTGCGTTTCTCTCACGGCCCCGTGATTGGCAAACAAGCCCTGGGGGCGATGCCTGCACAAGGAGGAGCCGCAGAAGACACCCGTGTGTGGGGCCTCCCGATGCTGGTTCCCCTGTTGAGGTCATCGACTGGCCGGCAGGAGTGCGGAATGCCTTTTGGATGTTGGTGGCATGGACCAGGAGCAGGACCAACAGTTCTATCTAGCTTGCTTTTAGACTAAACACAGTCACCTGAAAGAAAACTATTCTCGAGATTGGCATTATATTGATTTTTAAAAATATTTATTCTTGAGAGAGAGAGAGAGAGCATGCACACAAGCAGGGGAGAGGCAGAGAGAGAGAGGGAGACACAGAATCAGAAGCAGGCTCCAGGCTCCGAACTGTCAGCACAAGGTCCGAAGTGGGGCTCGAACCCACAAACCATGAGATCGTGACCTGGGCTGAAGTCGGATGCTTAACCCACTGAACCACCCAGGCGCCCCTGGAAATCCATATTTTTAACAAGGTCCCCGATGCAAAGCCAGGTTTGGGAGTCAGGGGACAAATATAATTCTCACACAGGACAGGTGAGGGGACAGCCCAGGGAGGTGGAGGTCTTAACCCACAGCTCTGCTGGCCCTCTGCCCGAGAGCACTTCATGACGTCCTTCTGATAACGCTCCAGGTGTCCCTGCCATGGTCAGGGTGACCCCCTCCGCTGACTCTAGGGGCCTGTATGCTTGTGTTCGTCAAGTGAATGTAAGACCTCCTCTCACTTTACAACCCAAGGACTGCTTCCTCACTCCCCTGCACAGAGGACTGTGTGACCGTCCCCAAGGTGGACGGGAACTGTAGCCCAGCAAAATGCGTCAGGATGGAACTTTCCATATTTTCAGCATTTACAATGTTTTTGCTTCCCAGAGTTAAAGAAGAAAACTCCCAAGGGTCAGTGACCTTATTCCAGTGATTGAAAAAACTCCAGCAGGGGCCATACTGGTTCACTCTGGTTGCTTTGGATCTGACGATGCTCCTATATCCAGTCTTTGGAGACTCCCGGGGTCTCCTTGGGAGGACCTGAAACCCCCACCACTCATTTCAAAGGGAGCCGGTCTCCACAGAGCCCAAGATCAGACTGTTTCCCAGAACACTATGCAGTTTGGGGCTGTTCTCTTGATCCCTTGTAACATTTTGTTTTCTGAGGATAATGATTTCATTCCCTTTAACAAAATGAGACATCCCTCACCTTTTAAAAGAAAACCTGGCTAATGTACCCCAAAGTAAGTCATTAGAAGTTTTAAGAGCAGTAACCATGTTTTATGCGCATTTTGTGAGAAGTTGGAAGTGATGAGTTCAAACAATGGATGCAGTTACGCATTTAAGTTCACATCCAGCTGTGGAAAAGCAGCTTGGCTCGGAGCAAGTCAGGCAGGGCTGACGGAGGTCCCTGTGGTCACAGGAAACATCACTATGTGCACTGTCCTACCCTAGAAGGCTGGGTAAGCCCTGAAGGTGGTGGTTTGCCACCTGCGTAGGCCTCAGGGCTCCTGAGTGCGGGGTGACGTGGGACACTCCCTGCCAAGTGGCCTGACGGACGTTCCCAACACCAACGTCCCTTACCTACAGGTGTTGGGAACAGGCTGCTTGTAGACCACTTTTACAACCATTATAACAAGTTCATGGTTTCTGGGGCACTTTTGAAGCACAGTGCCAGTGTGTAACACTGTGGGGGGCTATCGCCCTCTGGTTCTATCCCCCAGTATGCCAAAGTGTGTCACCTACAGCCTTAGATCCCTCCCTCACTCTGCTCCAGACCACAGAATTACTGACTACCGGCCGGGCAGGTGATCTGGTTCTGCACTGTTGGGGAGAGGGCTTTTCAGGCGTCAGCGTGGATCACAAAGGCAGAGCACCCAGACTCATGGGGAGAGATGCCGGCCTTATCAAAACTGTGTACGATCGGATAAAGAGAGATCAGCCGCCGAAATCAAGACCTAGGAAACCAGGCCAGGGTTTTGGAATGCCAGGACTCCCGCCCCCAGGGATTTACTTCTGGTAATCTTTGAACCACGCTGTTTTGAGGACAACTGTTAGCGATAAACGGAACATGCTGGAACCATTCTGCACAACCACCGTAACTCAGGAGGAGCAGAGGTTACGGACAAAAGGGGTGTTTACCAACGGGGGTCTGGGAAAAGCTATAAAAGGAAGCTTTTCGACACTAGCTGAATGTTTCTTTTTACAATAAAAATTTCACTCTGTATCAACAGAAGACACCTTCTCACTGCCTCCTCCTACACTGCCTGTCAGAGGAACGCGGTGCAGTTCCCGCGGCTGGCACTAGGTGGCAGTCAGTCGCGCTTTTGGGAGTGAGACCCCGCCCCACTTCAGACTTCAGGTTTGTCGCGTCCAAGATTTTGGGACTGTTCTGGGTGACGATGACCCCCTTCCGTGGGACAGAGGGCAGGTCCCTCAGTTGTCACGGGGAGCTAACCTCCCAGGGGAAAAATTCTGATGAAAATGTTCACGGCAGAATTCCAACGGTGTCGAAAGAGCGTATCAAATTCCGATTTTCTCTTCACGGGGCACTTGAACTAACAGTAATTAATTATCTTGTACTTCCCTTCCCTTTTGACTTGCCCAAAGGAATGTGTTCTAAGTACACAGAAATAGCGGAGGACCCGTTAGACCCAGACCCAGTGCAGAGTTCTGGGAGACAGCAAAGTAATAAGTGCAACCAACATTTCTAGAGTGGAGCGTTCACGGTGCGGAAAACTTTCCACCAGCAAACGGATTTAATCCCCATGGCACCTCTACGGGGCAGGTGCTGTTCCCATATTGGCTCTGAGGACGGATTCGTGCCCAGCTTTGTGGGACGTGCCCAGAAGGCAATGTCGAGGCACCTACGAATGCCCCTTGAGTAACGGACATGACTTGGGACCCTGAATCATCTGTTTCACTGATCTTCACGAGGCTACAACAAAGCCAAAAGCAATGGCCAAAGTGACAAAGCCAAACAGATGTACGCCTGGGGTTCGCGCAGACCCAACAGAACAGAGCCAGTCACCTCCCTGGGAGATTATCTGAGAACCTGCTTCTCTGCTTTAACCCAACGCTGCTCAATTGCCGCCATTTCACGGCTCATTAATCCGCTTCCTGCTAGAAAGTGACCGGGGCAGAAAGAGAAGGTG